AAGAAGCAACAATGAAGGCCCAAGAGAGTATCCAGTCAAGCTACTGGTCATATACAACCTAAAAGAATAAATGGCCCACAGCTTCCCTGGTGGCGCAGTGGTTGGGAATCTGCCTGCCAGTGTGGGTTCGAGCCCTGGTCTGGGAAGATCCCACGTGCCATGGAGCAATTAAGCCTGTGTGCCACAACTACTGAGCTTGTGCTCTAGAGCCCATGAGCCACAGCTACCGAGCCCTCGTGCTGCAGCTACTGAAGCCCGCATACTTAGAGCCCATGCTCCGCAACAAGAGAAGCCACCACAATGAGAAGCCTGCGCACCGCAACGAAGAGTAGCCGCCGCTTGCTGCAACTAGAGAAAGCACGCGTGCAGCAACAAAGACCCAACACCACCAAAAATAAACAAAAATAAATAAATTTATTTTTTTTAAAAAAGGAGTAAATGGCCCATGTAGGTACAATGTGTAACTTTACCCTTAAAATTATTGGCAACATTATGAGAAAATTTTCTTCTGAATAACAGCCTTATATATCTTATAATACCATATAAAGGAATTTACAAATGTAAACTACTGATTTATTGCAAACTGCTCCTTTTGCATCTTTTTTGTTTTAATCCTAAAGCACACATCATCATCCCTGAGAATTTATTAATGCCTCCCTGTTCTGGAGTCTCTATAGCAGCACCAGTCAAGATAGAGAGTACCCTTTCCATTTGTTTGAATCCGAGAGTTTGCCTGAAATTGCCCCTTCACCATCCAACTCTTTAGCCCTGTCATTTTTGGTACCTGTGACAATAACTGTGTTCTTCTCAAATATCTTCAAGCTTCAAGTCTCCATTTAACAGTTAATTAAAAGAAATTGCATGCTTTTAATTTTAATTTAAAAATTTCCTTATTTCTTGGTATGTATTTGCTGTGCCACATGGTAAACATTATGCTTATCATTATGCATGCATTACTGTTTCTGTAATTTCTGTGGACAAGTTTATGCTGTGTTTCTGATCCTCTCATATTTTGAATTGGAGATTTTTTTTTTTAATTGTGATTATCTTGTTCCTATCCTACCATTGTATATTGGGTATGTTAAAGAGGGAGATAACTTGAACATGAGAGCTGTATTTGATCCTACAGAAGATACTGGATGTTGAACAAGATGGGGTAAATGGATGGAAATTTAGGTTCTTCCCCTTGAGAAGGAGAGGGTATGTTTATCTGGGGAAAAAGGATGTGTCCAGATGTTTGGGCAGCCAGAGGCATAGGACTACGGCAGACACTTCTGGGTGCCCCCAGTATGTGTTCTTTTCATTTCGCTTGGTAATAAAACCTGAAATATTATCTGGGCATTTGTTCAACCAATAAAAAAAGATTACATTTCCCAGCCTCTCTTGCAACTAAGTGTGGCCATGTGACTAAGATTTGGGCAATGAGTTGTAAGGAAAAGTGGCTTGCATATGTTTCCTGGGAGGCTTTCTTAAAGAGAGGAAGTATGTCCTCTCTTCCTCTCCGGCTGGTCTTCCTGGCTAGCACGTGGATGTCATGGTTCAAGGTAAAGCAGCCAACTTATAAATTAGGATGGAAATCACAGGTAATAGTCTGCAGAGCAACCTGTCAGAAGAAGTCAGGGATCCCTGATGGGTATGGAGCCACCATCTTAGACTAAGACTGTCTATATTTATCAGAGAGAGAGACAAACTATTTTTTTAATACATTTATTTATTTATTATTTATTTATTTTTGGCTGTGTTGGGTCTTTGTTGTTGCACGTGGGCTTTTCCCTAGTTTTGGCGAGGAGGGGCTGCTCTTCATTGCGATGCACGGGCTTCTCATTGCAGTGGCTTCTCTTCTTGCAGAGCATGGGCTCTAGGTGTGTGGGCTTCAGTAGTTGTGGCACGTGGTCTCAGTAGTTGTGGCTCATGGGCTCTAGAGCTCAGGCTCAGTGGTTGTGGCACACAGACTTAGTTGCTCCGCAGGATGTGGGATCTTCCCAGACCAGGGGTCAAACCCGTGTCCCCTGAATTGACAGGCAGATTCTCAACCACTGTGCCACCAGGGAAGTCCCCAGACAGTTAAACTTTGATCTTTTTACCACTGTTCTTCTGGGCTTTCAATCTGAGTACTCCTCTTTTATTATCTTATTTAGTTTATACTGTTATATTATTATTACACCTATCTCATATTGTCTTGTTTAGTTTTCTTATAACTTATAACTAAGTTTTCATATAACTAGTTGTTTTGTCTAAAATATGATGGGAAAGCATTCCTTGGGTTGTACATAAAATAGTATTAAACAGTCTAATGGCAATCACTGATAGGCTGCTTAAATGAATGATATTTCCTTCATTCTTTGTTTAGAAAGGGCCCATTGGGGAAGGGGAAAAACCAAAACAAAATCCAACACTATTCCAATTAACTGAGCTGCAGAAGTGGAAGCTCCTTAACACCCAGATGGCATTTGACTGTCATTTTATAAGCACGGGTTTTCCATCAAATGAGACTACTACATTGTCTCCCAATTTCTCTTCAAGTGATGAATGCTCCTTAATCTCATCCATGCCATTTACACGCCACTTGTGTTTAATATATGTAAATTTCTTTTTAACGGCATCTTTGGAGCTAGCATAAATCATCTTGCTTTTTAAAGGTGCACTCTTAGAAGCCCAGAATATAAATATCAATACTAGGTCTTCTTTCTTAGACTCTTGTTTTGTATGTGGCATCAAACAGAGCAAACTGGCAATCATTCAGAGGTAGCAACTTCACAAAAGATGTGTAGGGATCCTCTGTGGTATCACCAGTGTCATTTGCCAAGATCTGCTTTGCTTCCTCTACAATTATTTGTCCTTTCTCATCACTTAAACAGAAGAGACCTTCTTTCTTCCCTCCTTCCTTTCTTTCTTTCCTTTAATCTTCTTTTGTGTAGAAGATTTCCTTATTTTCCTATCATTAAAAACTTTGATGACTTCATCATTCACTGTAACTCCAGAAGCCATAGTGCCTGGGGCTGCATTGGCAGCTCTGGCTCCAGCTCTGTGGCACTAGGAGAAGAAGGAGAGGTGGGTGGAAACCTTGTCTCTCTTGTTCACATCTGAATCTACAGAGCTTAGAACAGTGCCTGAAAATAGTATGTGCTCAGTAAATATTTGTAGAATGAATGAATGGGATTCCTCTAAAGGTTGTACATAAAAGTAATATTAAACAGTCTAATGGCAAGTTCCTGCTTTAAGAAACTTTAGAATTTGTAATTCCAAGGAAACTAGAAAGATATTTATAGGTGAGGAAACTGATATTTAGGGGGGTTATAAGACTCATAGGCCGCACAGGTTCCTTGTCATGCCAATTGTTGGCCAAGCTCTCTAGCCAGGTATGAGTTCTAAGACCACTGCTGCCTCTACTATGTGTACTATTTGAAGCCAAGTCCCTCTAAAACTGAGTTCCCCTACTGAGTTTATGATTAATCTCTCTATCTAAAATTTAATTTCCTTTCTTTTCCCCCCTGACCTCAATCCTGTGGTAACTGAACACTAATCAACTAGTCAGATGACTAAAACTGCTGTTGTGATAACATCATTAATGTTCTAAAACTGCTATTATAGATATCATCATTATTATAGTGTACAAACTCAGGTTGTTTCTCCAGGGCAAGATGAGCTTACAGACCCCGAAGCCATGGACCACCTGGCCTGAGAATTCGAGACATCCTGACCCCTGAAACTACGATTAAGAAATGTCACGAGGGCTTCCCTGGTGGCGCAGTGGCTGAGAGTCCACCTGCAGATGCAGGGGACGCGGGTTTGTGCCCCAGTTCGGGAAGATCCCACATGCCACGGAGCGGCTGGGCCCGTGAGCCATGGCCGCTGAGCCTGTGCGTCCGTAGCCCTTGCTCTGCAACGGCAGAGGCCACAACAGTGAGAGGCCCGCGTACCGCAAAAAAAAAAAAAAAGAAATGTCACGAGATGATGATTAATCCTAGCCTCTTTGTTTTTCCTTTTTAAGAAACCCCTAACTCAAAGGCCAAGTGGGAGTGTATCTGAGGCTTGTCTCCCACCCCCTTGCTTGGCGCCCTGCAATAAACCTTTACTTTGCTGCAGACACCTCCTGTAGAGTCTGGCTTTCTGAGCCTGCGGCATGTGAGTCCTTGCTGGGTTACACATTTGGCTGATGAGCACCTGTGATGTATGTTGTAGACAGGACTGCTCAGTGGCCCAGGGTTTGGACAGGACGACCTACTACTGTCCTTTCCCCATACAGGAAGTGCAAGAACACAGCTAACAGATTTTTCAAGCATTCTCAGGCACTGCAGAGCTTAGAAAGCCCAGTAATTGGGAGCAGTGCCGTCCCAACCAGCAGGCAGCCTTAGCTATTTATTACCTGGCACTCTAGGGTAGCAGAGCTGGCAGTTCTGAGGAGGATGGTTGTCCAGGCTCTCCTCTGGCAATCTTCTTCCTCCACCAGCTCCCAACAAAGACATTTAATCCCTTTCTTCCACTGCTCTCAGTTCTACTTGGTTGGGCTTTTAGAGGACAGAAACTGGAGTCCAATATTTCGCAAGTCGCCTTTGTACAACTTTCTCGGCGCGCTCGCGCCGGCGTGGAGCTAAATGAGGGGGTGGCGTGCGCGTCCTCGAGCTCCGCTCTCCCACCTTCTGCTACCCGCGCTGAGCCGGGCTCCGAGAGGCGGGCGCGCGCCCCGGGCCGAGGCCGCTTGAGGGAGCGCGCCCGCTC